GATTCAATAGAGAATAAACGTACTAATTTGCTCTTCTGTTTGTCGAAAAGCCTGAATTGGGTGCTTTTTACATGGTTGGCATTTTTCTGCAAAGGGAACAAAGTACCTTCCCTCACAAGCAGCATTCTAGTTTTAGGGCTGGGCAGAGGAGAAGAGAGTAAATAAACCAGGGAATGCTAAGGGTTATAAAACAAAGGTGCAGAGCAAATGGCTAGATAGGGTTGACAAGGGGGACAGAGAAGCCCTCCCTGATAAGGTGCTATCTGAACAGGCACTGGAAAGAAATCAGGTCTAGGAGTGAGCAACATGTCTCAGGGAAAAGCATTCAAGTTGCAGGTAGGCTCATGCTCGGTCCATCCCGTACCAAGGCCCAGTATTGCTATAATAAAATGAGGGGAGGAGGATGAAGGGATGAGGTCAGTCTGCAGAGGGTGGAAAGCTCATGTAGTTCTTAAAGGCTATTGGAAATCTCAGCCTTCAGTCTGAGACAGATGAAAAGCTATGGATCATCCTGAGTACAGGAACGGGAGGACCTGAGGTGCATCTTGAAAAGCTAGGTCTGGCTCTACTGTGGAGTATGGAAGCCCTAAAGCAGGCTTTTTCAAGAGTTTGGGCAAAAAATGATGGCATGAACTGGAGCTGTGGCAATGGAGATGGTGAACAAACTGAAATGTGAGAGGAAAGAAGGCTCAAGGATGCACCAGTGTTAGCTTAAACTACTGGGAGACTGCCTGATAAAAGCTGATAAAATTGTGAAAAGAACCAGCTTCCGGGAGAAAATTGGGAGACTGATTTTGAATGCATAAGGGTAAATAGGCAGCCTGTTGAATCCTCTGAAGATCAGATAAGAGTCAGGACTAGCGATATGATCTGGCAGGTGTCACCATAAAAATGGTACTTAAACCATAAGCCTGGATCAGTCCATTTGAGGACTCTGTATGTCAACAAGAGAAAATCAGATAGCTGAGTCCTGGGTCCCTTCTACATTTGCAATTTGGGAGATGAGGGAGAACCAACACGAGACATGCAGACGGAGATAAAACCATGTGACTGCAGGACCAGGAAGCTAAAGGAAGAAGCATTTTCAAGGAGGGTAATGTCCACAGTCTCAACTCACTGAGCAATGATAGGCAAACAGCAAAAAGACTAAGAAGTGGCCATAGGGGGTGGCAATAGAAAAGTCACCTGACCTGAGTGGAACTGCAGAGGTGATTTTAAAAGCATGGATACAACAGACTCATGGGAAAGTGAGGGGCAAAAATGGGGAATGACTTTTTCAAGGACTTACAGCAAAACAAGAGTGAGAAATAGAACATGAGAGATGTTGCAGCATATGTGAATATTTCTGTACATAATTCAGAAGAGAGGAGAAGATTGACAGGCAAGACAATCCTTAAGACTGAAACTTTAGCAAGACCAACCAGTTGTAATTCTACTGGAACAGAGCAATTAACATTTGTTGGGGGAAGTAGAAGTATTCATGTTAATTCTTCTCCTTCATACACACGCATACCGAAGAAGTGGTTACATATGTGTACATCTTAAGAAAAATATTTATAAGTGGAATTGTCATAGAACCATGGAAAAGTAAATGGTTGAAAGTTCATCTTTATCTTTTCCTGTCCTCCTGTTCTTCAGTTCATCCCTTTAAAGTTTGTGAAGATTCTCGAGGACCTAAATTCCATAAAATATTAATGCTTTGAGATTAATGACAGTGTTTCTCTCCCAGTGGTGTTTAAATTTACTGAACTGTCTTAGGATAAAGATGATCTGAGAAAATTGCTCAAAATAATTTATTTGGGAGAAGAGGATGGCTGGGTGGGGATGCGAGCTGGGGGAAAGAAGTTGCTTTTGAGTTGATAATGAAGGTAGTGCTGAGTATATGGATGATTCTTTATACCAGTCTCTGTGTCTCTATATTTATTTGAAAGTGTCCATAATATAATGTTAAAAATTATTGGAAATGCAAGGTCAGTACTATGCTTAACCTAAAGGAGTCCACTAAGTGGTGAAATTTCAGATAATTTGGTGAAATGATAGAGAGCTATTTTAGGGCACAGCTTTTCTTTTCTTGGCAGTTCTTGAAACAAAACCAGCTATTTTTTTTTTTCATATATACAGGGCAGGCATAGGTGACTTTTTATTCGATCCTAAACTGTCTTAGTTGCTTTAAGATAGAACTAATATGATGCTGTTTATGCAATTGATTTGGAAGACTGGATTTTTTTATAGAAGTTTGATTCTCTTAAATATTTGATTACTTTAGGTAAGCATAAGGAATTCTGAGAATGCTTGTGCTATGAAATATGTTTTGAGGGAAAGCCAGGGTAATCCAGCTGATTGTGATGTAAAAGAATGAATACTTGATAGTGGGATGAATAAAAGATGAAATCTCACTGTAACGGTATTCATTTTTCAAAATGCAATTGTGATTTTTGAGATTTGTCTTTTGTAATGCTATTAAATATTTATGTAACAGAAATTCTTTTAAAAATTTTTTTCAAGTAAGCAAATGTGCAAATAATAACATTGCTCCGTTAACTCTTCAAATATTCACCAATAGGTATTCTTTATGTTTTCTAGTTGTTCATTAACCATTTTATAGTGTTGTTGATAACATCAATCATCTCTAATCTCTGGAAAGCTCTACCAGGGAAAGTTAAAAATTGCCATAAGTTTTTCTATATCAGTATCTTCAGGCTTCATTTGTAACATCTTCTATTTACTATAAATTCATTACTAAAAGTGTACCATGCATTTGAGAGCTATAAATTCTACTTCAAACATTAAAACCAAATTATGTTGTTCTTGTGCAGTTATGGTCTCTTTTGTATGGTTTTATTGCCCTCAACATTTTCTTGGTGTAAACTACATACTGAACACGATTTCTTTTGTAATTGATACTTAAATTTCTATTCTGATTTGAGCATCTAATTTGTACTGTAAAGACATATAATTTGAGACTTGTAGCTATATCACAAAAGTACAACAGTTTACTCTGATCTCTAATTTTCTGAGTCGCACTGGCTATAATTTAGATTTTTTGCATGTTTTTAACTGCCATTCAAATCAGTATACATCAGAAGGCTTTGTACACTGACAGAGACTGGGAAAAGGATGCCTTGTTTTGGTTTCAGAAAAGTATTCCTTCTTCAGGTCTGCAGGTGCAACAGGACCCATTCATAACATTTGATTAAAGTCAGTTACAGTCACTGGAGAGAAATACAGTGCTAACATAAAAACTTTACCAATCTTCACAAGCACAATGAATTTGTAAATACTGCTGTTATTAGCAAATTCTAGAGGCAAGTGGGAGTTTTTCATTTGACTATGTGCCAGGAGAAAAATACACTTTGTTCATTTAAGTTTTGGTCATTTTATTAGGATTTAAGTGTATATGTTTACTCAATCTAGAAAAAACACTTATTACTTATTGAAACAGGATGGAATTATGCATGGTGGAAATTTTGCTGTCACAAATACATGTTCCATTTAAGAGGTAATTGATAATGAATGTTACTTTTTCCTTTACATTAAGTTTCACTTATTTTGAAATCAATATGTAAGCCAAAATATAACCACAAGACATAACACTTACTCTAAGTGACCCCATTTCAGATAACTGGGTAAATCTCCCTGAAACATATATTAGACAATTATATATGCAACAACTAAATGAAGTTACCTGGATGTTTCCACTTTAAGCCTTTATTTATAATTATGACTTGATTGTTTTAATTAGCTTCGGCAAGATCCTGGCACATCAACTCAAAGCATAGAAATTAATTTTTGTGTACAAAACAATTACAATCATTGAGTAAGCTCTCCACCAGTCAGAGAGGTTAGACTAAAGCTCTCATAGCTTTTAAGGGCTCTGTGACCAGAGGAAAGTAAAAAGTCTATTTTAGAAATACCGAACAGTAGGGGCTGGGGATTTAGCTCAGCGGCAAAGCGCCTGCCTGGCAAGCACAAGGTCGTGAGTTCGGGTCCCCGTACCGGAAAAAAAAAAAAAAAAAAAAAAAAAAAAAAGAAATACCGAACAGTCACTGCCCTTGCAAAACTAAATGTTTGATCTATATGGAAAAACCAACAACTTTATGTTTTATAGTTTGTTAACAATACAATGCCTCCACCTTACACTTTATTGTGTTGATATAACTCAAAAGTCTCTCAATCCCTTCTCATATACTATTGGAACTTTCCTCTGTGACTTAAGGAGGGCAGATATTATTATCCCATTTTACGGATGAGGACAACCAAGTTATACAGAGGTAACAGCTCCAAATCCAGGTAATGCTGACCTAAGATGTTTGGCTGGAAAAGCTGGCAATCCTGGATCAGGATTCTTTCTGCTTCTCAAGTCTGACCTTGAGCTCAGTGAGAGATTAATTATGTAGGAAAGTGTGCTTTTCTTTTCTTTTTTTAAAGAAAAAGCCAAAAGGATGGCCAGTTAAAGCATAAGTATTCTTCAAGAGTTTTTAATTCATTCAGGCGGAACCCCATGAGAGAAGAAACTTGTAAGTTGCTCTTCTTTTCTTTCAGAAGAAAAATAACCCAAGACTTCTGTTTACGCTTTATCCACAGCCTTACATCAAATGCAGGTTGGTGGCTGCTGGACGCACCTCTTAGAAAAACTGGACTTTCATCGTGCACGGAGGATGCCCCCAAGGACGTACCAGAACCTCTGAACTGACAGTGTAATAGGGCAACCTCCCTTCTAAACCTCCACTCGGTCGCTGCTTCCCCAGCACCAGAGGCAACACCCAGTGTCTCTAACTATAATAATCTGTTGCCGTCGCTCCAGGGCAGAAATCCTTGACACCTGGTCTCTCTAAAGCCGCCTGCAAGAGAGGACACCGCCACAAGCCCTCCATTCTGAAGTTCTCAAGGCAGACTGTGACTGGCATCTGCCACTTACCTGGCCGGGATGCTTTGGCCAGGAAGCCCTTCGTGCCATCCCAAGACCTTGCGCCAAGAGAATACAACATAAAACTACTTACCACTCTGGCCCAGTCCAAGAACAAGTGAAAACACCCAGGCCGCCCGGAGAAAGGAGGCAGGACCTTGCCGGCAGTTTTGCGCGCAGACAAATGCAGCAGTAAGAAAAGCCAGGGCCGAGCCGCACATAATGCAAAGCAGCCCGCCCCGCGCCTGCAGCCTGGCCGCTTTCCGGACGCGCGCTCGCGCCTCGCAGGCGCACCTCGGGGCCCGCGGGCCGGCTGTCGCTAGGACGTGGCCCGCAGGCCCGGCAGGCGGACCCCGCGGCGGCGAGCGAGCGGAGCAGGTAGGCGGGCCGGGGCACGGCTCCGCATCTCAGGGCCCGGGCGGCCCTCCCAGCTCGGCGGCGCGGCGGGCTCCGGTCTCGGCGAGAAGCAGCTCCTCTGACGGCTGACGGTCCGGGCGGCGACGCGAGCGAGGGCTCCACAGCCGGCTCCCGGACAAAGAAAAGAGCTTTTGTTCCTCTCCAGTCGATGGGGCTGTGCTGCATAAATCAGCTTAGCGAAGAGCCAAACACAATCAAACCCAAACAAAGCCCGCAGCCGGGGGGAAAACCACCCTAATGTACATCACTGTGATGCTACATGGGTGGGAGGGGACGCCTGGACGGCCGGGGGGAAAGGCGACGGCGCATCTGCGCGAGCGTCTTCCACAGGTGGGCAGGGAGGCCAACTCCACTTAGTTGCGGCTTTGCAGCCCGGGCGGCGGGGCAGCCGGCAAGGACACGGCGGCAGCGTCCCGATTGGCGAGGAGGGCAGGCTCGGGGTGCCAGCGGCTGGGGAGGCGCCTCCGGAGCGTCCTAGAGGCGCCCGTCGACGCCCGCAGGCACAGAGCGAGGCATCGCCTCTCCCTGCCTGGCCGGGAGTGGGGCGCACGGCGGCTCGCGCAGGAGGGGAGGTTCCGCGGGGGTGCGGGAGCCCGGCCTCGCGGGGCGGGGGCTTCGTGCCCTGGTCCCTTTGGCTGCAGTGCGAGACTCCGGCGCCCCGCCGCCCAGCGCCCTGGCAGCTGGCGCTCTGCGGTGCACCCGGCGAGCACGCGAGGGCCGCGAGGCTGGCGGCGGGGTGGTCCTGGCCTGGCCCCCCGAGGGGCTCCCAGCCTACGGGTAGCCGGGCGCACTGCGGGCCACGAGTTGCTAGGAAACAGCCCCACGCTCCGGAGCGCCTGGCCCGGGTCGCCCGCAGGCGCGGCGGCGGCCCAGGCTGCAGCGGCAACAGCTCCGAGCCCGTGGGCGGGACATTGGTGAGGCATGAAGTCACCGCGGCCCACACTCGCTCTTTGTTTTGCTCACTCCGGCTCTTTTTCTCCCCTTTGGATCTGATCGTTGCCATTCCCATGGTTCCCGAGAACTCCCGGTGCGCGGCCACGCAACAGGAGGTCGCACGGCGCGTTCCCTGTTCCCTCCTCTTCGGATCCTGCACCCCTAAGATTGCCGGGCTGGTGTGCTGGAGGACTCCTTCAGCACAAGTGGCCGCTCTGAGCAAACTCCAATCGCTCACCCCGAGCTTCGCGCTCCTTTGTTTAGAGATACGCACTGCCCCGCCGCTGCTGCATGCAAAGTGGAGTCCAGGGCCTCTGCCCGCCCCCAGAACTCTCTGTTTCTGGGGTGCGCACTGCCCACTGTGCTTGCAGGGTTGGGAGCTCACCCTTTGCCCCATCCCAAGGCTGTCCTGGGTCTCCCCAGCCCTTGGTGAGCTGGACGAGCTCACAGGGGCTGTTCCCGAAGATACTGGCCGAGATTTCTCGCCGCTCCTTCTCGCAGGCTCAGCCGCGAGCTGGACAACCTCACTTTTTCCCAGGGTTTGGTGGTGACCCTGGGCTTCTGCTGGCCACACTGTGTCTTTTGACCTTAAGCATCATCTTCCCAGCACACAGAACAAAGAAGTGAGAGAGGACGGCCAAGGAGTGAGAGACGCTAAGGCGAGGAGAGGGGAAGGCATTTCTGCCTGGTGGCAGCTCAGAGATTCAGGTGCGGGTGGGGAGCGATGAGATGCGGGCGACTGGGGAAGCAGCACGCCTCTTTCGGCCTGGTGGCCACCACTCCAAGCCGAGGCAGGGGACCCTGTTCTCCCCCACCCCCAAGCCGCTTCATCGCAAGAGAGGCGCTGTTTCCAATTTGAGACCGGGTGATGATGATGGTTTCCTTTTCCCCCCTAGGGGCAGGAGTGGTTTCCCAATCTTGAAGTCTGGCTTTTTATTTTTCCACTAGTAGCTTATCCGATCTCTGTAGCAGAACACCCGCCTCTTACAGGCAACAGACCAGTCCAACCAGGTCAAGGTGAAATGTGGGGGAGTTTCCCTCCGTATTTAATAGTTTCCGCCTCCTTATTTGGAGTAAGAAAACAAGTAGGAGGGAGGTTCTTTCTGTCTCTCTTTTTTTTTTCTTTCTGTTTTCTAATTAACTGAGTGAATGGAAAGTACCTGTTAATACACCACAGCGTGGAAAACTCCCCTTGTTTCAGGTGTGGATGGTGCCTTGGGGTGCAAAGTCAGCTAAGCAAACTGGGAACCAAGTTGCAGAAGTGCCCCGGACCCACCAGTAAGCAGTTCTACTGAGGGGCCATGTACGCTATGCAAGTGGGACTACATCCTGCTTTGTCTCACTTCTGAAATTCTTTCTTTGGCTTCAAGTCTGAACTACTCTGGTCTTACTTAATATATTAAAAGTCTGACAGTTGATTCTTCAATGGGGCAGCATGTACTGTTATAGAGATTATGTCACAGGCCTAAAGAATGCAGCCATCCTTCAGATGGTCCAGTGTGAAATAAAGACAGAATCCCTAGTTCCAATAAGGATGTGTGAGCCAACTGTACTCCTTAAGGTGACTGTCATCACACCAAAGTTTCATGACATTTTTAATCTACCTCTTGGTGCCAGATTGTAAATGGAGATTATAATATTACATGCTTATAAATTTAGGCACATAGGAATGGGGGTAGTTTTGCAGAATGGATGAGGTATGCACTAATTTTTGTAATCGTGTATTGTTAGGTATTGATATATTCTACAGAGAGAGTCACAACAGATGTGTAGCAAGAGGAATTAGATAAAGCTCAGAGATCTGTTTCAGAAAAGTCTGAAGCCCTTCAGAAGGAAGGATCCTCACAGTTCGTGAGGTGAATACCCCATGCCAACTTTCTGGAGTTATTGCAGGAAAAGCACAGCACTATTTATCACCACTTTCCAGTTCAGAAGAGATTTTAGGTCTGGTTATTAAAGTAAAATAGAACACGATATCCTGGATGTTAGACCGTGATCCCACGAATTATTTATAAGCAGTTTATCTGTATTTTGGAGTTATAAAATTGAATACAAATTCCCCTGGAATCCTGCAAATAGTCATGAAGGTTTTCTCACAGTAACTACAATTTATTTAGAAACAAAACTTTTGCTTGTATCCAATAAACGACACTGGTCACCAAAACTCATCTTTTTTCCTGTAAAAACTATGCAGGATATTATGAAGAAATGCAGTACTATCTTTATCATATTACCTGAAGATATTAACAGAGGAAAAAATGTTCAAGACTTGAAGAAATGCAGTATTATCTTTACCATATTACCTGAAGATATTAACAGAGGAAAAAATGTTCAAGACTTGAAAAAATGCAGTATTATCTTCATCATATTGCCTGGAGATATTAACAGAGGAAAAAATGTTCAAGACTTGATGACTTCACTAATCTCTGGTTTTCTAATGTGTTCTCCTGTCTTACTTTGAATTTCTGACAGCTAATATTTCATCATTTATACTAATGAGAACACATGAAATTCACAGTCTAAAAATAACACTTTAGCTATTCATCTCAACCTTCCTATCATAAGATTCTTTGAATTGTTAATAAGCCATTCAATTAGATGGCTTAAAATTCTTCCCTACTCTATTTGCCTTGCTTTCTCACTAATCAGTTTTTAGTGAGAATTAATAAGCTATAAGTGGAAAGTAGGAAGGAGAGAAGCATCTAAAAGACTACTCATTCTTTTCCTGATTTTGCAGACTTTAATCAGATTTTACTCAAATTGTTGACTTCATAGTTGCACCTCTGATCATAGTCACATTATAATATTATGTCTTTCTGAAGTGGAGCTTGCAGCAACTCAGTAGCTTTTCAGCGGATAGTCTGAGGTGTGTCTGATCTTGCTGACCAGTGGCATATTTTACAGCTGCTATGACTTCTAGCTTCTTCTAGTGATAATGAACATAAATCACAGAAACATCCCTTTCACTGAACTGTTCTATAAAATGACATTTCTCATCATTTTGTGGGTGGGAGCCTGCCTGCAACACACTTACCTGCAGAGTAAATCTCAGCTGCAATTCTTTGTCTCAATTCCAGGAGGTTCTGAATTAGTAGATCTCACACAGTGCCCCGGCAACCTACATTATAACAAACTTCTCATATAGTTCTTATATACATGGAAGTTTAAGAACTTCCCACTGTAATGGTTTAACACAGACTCCTCAAATTCTTCATAGGTGTTTATCAACACAGTTCATTGTCAGTCAGAAATTATAAAAAAAAAAAGTAAATGACTAAAACCAGCATCTCTTGCCAAGACACTCTATGGATGATTGAGTTCATGAAATGCTAATGACTTCTGAAAAAAGACTTCCATGATTAAACTTGGGGAATGCTAAGTGAAAGTTAAATTAAATTCTTTCCAGGAGAAATTTCCAGAAACTCAAGTAGGCCAGCATGTACTGGATTCTCCAAAAAAGAACCCTTTATTTAAAACCCTCTAACAGACTAATTTCTGTGAATCATACTGTTGAGCTGGTCCCATTTCATAAATGTGGAAACTGAGACCCAAACTGGCAAAGAAACCAATCTTACTTCTTTAAGAAAATTCCTGAGCAGGTACAAATCAGAGGTCTGACTCTTCTGATCATCACATATCAGGGGTAAATTTTGGTTCCAAGGAAAAGCGTCATATTGTGGTTATTATAAGTTTTAAAAAAGGAAATTATTGGAAGGAAACTGGAAGTCCACAGGATCAGCAGGAGGCTGATTAAATAAGGCCAAAAGCAAAGGAGAAAAAAAATGCAAGCAATAAATATCTAATGTGTGAGAGGGAGTTCTAATTACCCCATCCTCTTTGAACCACTTAAGATTCGGCATCCTGATTAAGAATATCTGATTTTCAAGACTTTGGTCACATATTAGTAGCCAAGCTTACTGCAGTAGAGAAGAGGGAGGAGGCACTCTTATCTTTGGCTTCTTCAGTGGAA